AAAGTTGTTTTCGCGATTTATTATCAAGAGCATAACATTTTGTCCATTTTTGTCTATACTCCTGTTATATTAAGTTTGTGCCTAACAAAAGGTGTATTTCTCTGAGAAAAAAGTTAGATAGGTTATTTATATAGCTAAAAAATATATAAAACATAAAAAGCCCACACAAAAAATAAATATTACTGAGGTTGTTTGAAACGTTTGATTGAAGCACAACTTACTAACTTTAAACCTTACTTTTTCATGAGCAGCATATTTTTCATGAATCTTTTACAATAAAATCCCCCCAGTGGTGTGAGCAGTTATACAGTACATTATAAATTCCAAAATGGTTCCGGACCTCTGTTTCCGTCCCATAAAAACACGGAGACGATCGGAGGTGACGAGACTGACATTGTAAAACACTGACAGTCGACAGACGTGAAAACGCCCTTAATGGGGAAAAACGCATCATGGAACCGTGTCATAAATATCACATATTGTATATAAAGCTTCGTCCACGATCTTCATAATTGTCAAGTGTACAAGGCAGAGGCGGGTGGGACTTACATATATCATTTTTAGAGTAACATTTTTTGTTTAATTAAGCAGGAAAGGCAAGGTTTGGCGCAATATAATACTTCGTATACTAAAAACTATTGCAAAGCATCTACATCAAACAGATTTTTTCGCTCTACATGTACGTACAAATATCGAACAACTTTTCATACATGGGAAAGAAGGCCAGTACGTACATTGGAAAAAATCAATATTCAAAAACACAGAAAACAAAAATGTATATGAAAGGCAAGTTCGGAAGGAAGCCGTGCCCAATATGTCTTTTTTACTTATGTATGTAATGGTGAGGTACCGAGGTCTCACATTTGAGTCATAATTTAACAGACGGCTAAATGTATAGTTACATATGTATACATGCTAAACATTTTATTGATCATACACGAGGATCGGCGCACTGGATTTGTCTTACAACTATACCGCCATGGTTCGATTCCAGGCATGGCACTGTATGGTCATCCCTAGAAGACTAAAACCCGAGAGCCTTAAGGGTCCCTGTCACACTGAAGTGTGTTTTTTCCTATCTACAGTGACTTCCCCTTAACTTCCGTTTGGGTAACACTGAAGCAGGGTTGGGCCACGATAACTTTGATATCAGGTATCGCAATCAGTTAGAGCGATGGTATAACAATCTGAAGTTCAGGGTTCGATTCCCGGTCTAGCCATACTGAATTTCCACACTGTTATAATTTGTTTATTTCATCTTTATTATTTTACATAAAAGTCCCGTAAGGAATGGTTTTCTTTTCAGAACTATATGGTCATGCCGGATAAAATAATTTTCAGTGCGTGCATGGTTACAATTTTTGGCAGTGGGACGGGGATCTTTAAAACCCGTCGAAGACACAACCCGTACATGTAGGTCCCGTCTGGGACTCAAAGCATAGGTTTCATTGACATCTCCAGATTTAGTCCTAATTCCAAAACAATTAGAGACATGATCGGGTAATTGACAAGAAGAAATAAGTTTCTGTATAAACGACCCTCTTCTTGGGAGTTTAATATTGTAAAACAGTACTCGTACTTTTTTCAAATTTCAAACAATTTAAATGTGATATCGTATGTATGGATTGTTGAAAACAATACATATTTATTCGAATAAACATCATATTAAGATAAAATAAAATAAAACTTCTTTTATCCGAATGTTAATAATCTTCGATTACCAGACGCAAAACAAAGACGTTTGGCAAATGGACAGAGTAAAAATATTTCAGACAAAGTTTTTTTTTATTGTTAATACTAGCCCAAAGAAACAGTTATCATTTTTAAATGCAGAGTGATAGCAACTTTGATTTAGAAATATAATAAAATTACAATACACATTCATTACTTTAAGTATTATTCGAGAAAATTATTTTCAAAGTTCTTATTCCGGAAAATAGTATAACCAGGCAATGGCTATTCTACATTTATATAATAAAAGTCTGCAATTTTATCAAACATTTCTTTCCTCCGTTTAGGGTAACCCGCCCACACCACCAAACATACTGTATCTGTGCTTAAATAATGCATCGTCTCTAGCAGATCTAAGTGACCTATCCAAAATGCCGCGTCTGCGGGATTCTATTTCCCGTAATACATTATTTTCTCCTGTCGATGATAGCCCCTCCCCACCCTCGAAATACCGTGTCTATCCTCCGACTCCTGTTAACACAATGGCGGTATAAATGTCCAATAGTCGTCCATTCCAGTTACAGGCACGATGGCGTACAGCTGAGAGGCGAGACAACGCGATACCGAATGTCACAGAGAAACAATTTTGAAGACATAAAATGGTCCTAAATTTCTCTGATCGAAGGAGAGACATGCTAAGAGTCTTTTCCTTTTTCAATTACTCATACAAATTGTGTAGTTAGGGCGGGACGCAGTCAGATACAAAAGGTTCTCAACTACCGCTATCCTGGCCATTGCTTCCTCAGTAGTCTTCAGGAATAATGTTGTTTAAGTTTTACCGGAATAAGTCACACGAAGTGAGCGCGCGGGTAAACTGGCTGGAACAACTAAATGCCAACATAGGATTTATCATTACGCCAACCAGCTTGTGTTCTCCCGAGTCTGTCACATTTATACTCTGAAAAACCATTAAGTTTGGAACTTAACCAATATCAAAACGGGGAAAAAAGGGTTTGGAGTTAAGGAGATTGATAGGGTACCGTATAAAATAGATCCAGTACTGTAAAAGAATAAAACCAAGTGATGAAAACGAATGAGCTGGTAGCACGCAGAGGAAGACTCGGTTAGGTTACGGAAACCCGACAGTTGCACCGTGTCTAGCGCAACATTTATGGAGGCCCGAGAGATGTATTTTGTGTAGACCTATGAAAGCCGTCATGTGTTTTATGTCGAGATAAATATTATTTTGCGTAGAGGGTTATTGTGGCCCGGCATATGTATAGTATCTATTTGTGTAGACCTATGGAAGACGTCATATGTATTTTATCTCGGACTAGATGTGATTGCGTGTGCAAATATATTGCCTAGAGTCATGCTTGAATGATTGGTTTAACGTCCGCTTCACTACCGAGTAGTTGGGTAATGAAGCGGACGTAAAACCGATCAATCAATCAATCAATCATTGATCTGGGCAAATTGAAGCCAAACGTTTTAATAGTGTCTAGGTAATGCATATGGTGGCTCTGCATCTGTATAGTGTTGTCTAGGTTCACTGTGGCCCTGCATATGTAAGTGTCTAGAATTATATACGTCTGGCATATACTGTGTCTAGAGTTATGGAGGCCCGGAATATGTATTGTGTCTTGAGTAAGGACAACCAAGCTTATTTATAGTGTCGAATAAAACAAGGATAACTCGTGCATACAATAACATATCTTAGTAACTGTTCAATAGACTAATTGAGATTGCGGTGGATTTTAACCGAATGAGACCACAAAGAACGATAAAATGATATTCTGTGAGGAATATATCTTTGTCAATTATTCATCTATACATGTATCTGCTTTGTCCTGTATGACATCATCATGTACTGTAGCTTAGTCTTTTTTCGTCTTATTGCGTTTCCCCTATTTGTCTAGCTTTGTCATGTTCATCCAGATTCGTCAACTATTGGTTAAGATTTCCCCCTGTTTGTCAAGCTTTGCCACGTTAGCCTAACTTTGTCATGTTTGTCTAGATTCGTCAACTATTGGTTAAGATCTCCCCCTGTTTGTCAAGCTTTGCCACGTTAGCCTAACTTTGTCATGTTTGTCTAGATTCGTCAACTATTGCTTAAGATTTCCCCCTGTTTGTCAAGCTTTGCTACGTTAGCCTAACTTTGTCATGTTTGTCTAGATTTGCCGACCGTTAGTAAAGCTTTGTCCCTGATAGTCCAGTTTTTGTCCATGTTAGTCTGGCTTTGCTACGTTAGCTTTACTTTGCCATGTTCGTCTAGATTTGCCGTCCGTTAATAAAGCTTTGTCAACTTTAGTCTAGCTTCGCCTGTCCCTATCTTCAGTCTCAACATCATTGTGTGTGCGATTATGTGTCCTGTGCTGCATATTTCCTGCATACGATTAAGTGTTTATTTTTGTGATGTGTACAAACCACATGTCTGATGGGCTAATGCATTCAAAAGACATGTAATTACGTGCCAAACCAGAGTGCATGCTTCTCAATGTAAAATGTTACAAAGGCATTATTCCAGGCTCCGACAAAAATCACAAGACAGTGCATACTACTACTAGTAACGTGCTTGAACAATGTACTAGATATGTGACAATACACGGCGCAGTCGTCGCCGTCACTGGACATGACAGAATGAGCGTGGAGGTTTTATTAACACGTTTTTAAACAAATACTTAATGTTACGGAAAAAATGAACAACAGTCCGAGATCATAGGACACACGTAACGAAAGTCCAAATATAATTTTCCAATGATACAAAAGGATATCCTTGAGTTTAATTCAAATAAAGTGAAATAATACCTAACAACACGCGCGTTCATACATTGTATGTACATGTTAGGTATGTAAACTCACATGCATGTATTGTTGGTTATACAATGTACGTGTAGTTTTGCCTCACTAAGAACTAATATAGTTTCGTGGTCTAAAAATACATGTATTATAAACGCCACGAAGTCGCCACCATTAGTTACAGGTACCATTTACGGTGTCGGACTAAATTTACACCCTAGTATCTGCTTCATTTGTCTTCAAAGACAACAAACGTTTCTTAGCCTCCTTTAGTTTATTCCTTAAGGGGAAAATAAAGTATAGGGGGGAAAATCAACAGTAAAGATATTCTTAGAAACCTTGCTGATTTTATATATCGGATACAAATAACGAAGCTGGCATTTTCCCTTTGTCTTTCATGTCTATATATGTGTCCCCTTCCTATAAATGACTATGTTGATATTTTCCCTTTGTTCTCAAGGCATATATATATATATAAAGGTCTCTTGTTTAGGAATGAATATGTTAACATTTCCTTTTTTGTTTTATAGGCCTAACGTGTGCCCTTACCAGGATGTTGAAATGAAGATGGTACGTCAGCCTTGTGCGCAGGCGTATACACGACTAATAAAAGTATGGAAGCCCAATTGTGGCTATAATGGAAACTGGTGTGTTGGGCACGAAAGAAGGTAAGACAATCGCAATTAACTAGTTATTCATGAGTATAAGGCATCAGGTCAAGATGGGATCTGCGTAAGTCCTTTTATATATACATAAAGGATATTCGATTGTTTTTCGTTGAATACCATTTATATTTCACATGTGAATCAGACTTCCTCAATATGTTCACGAGATTTCCAGCAGTGGGAGCACTGGTGAAAATATTGAAGAATCTTCTGCAGTGGTGAAATGGAAGTGATAATCAACTGGAAAACATTAAATATTTGTCATTTTTCTAAGAACTTAAAAAATATATATATTGCCCTGTGGCTAAAAGCTGGACTTCTTTCGAACGTCAGAATATCTTCACATTGTTGAACGAAACCTCAGCTAATGACGTCGTACTTTCATGACGTCAAAATCAAGGACAATGTCAAACAAGCACACTTCAACCTTTCTGATTGCTTAGAATTTTGTTTTGAAATCTGTATTTTCATTTGTTTAAATCCGAGTACTTGCTTGTCGTTCGATTGTGCTGAAGATGTAACAAGTTAACTCCCTCTGTATAGTAAGTTACCTTGTCATAGTTAAGGGACTTTGTGGGTCATATCAACGTCACCCAACATTTTCAGTCACGCGCCATATGTTCGTTTGATTACAAAGGTGCTAGAGGTCATGAGGTTCACATCAATTAGGTTTACTTGAGCAAAACAGCTATCATGGTAGATATGACCGAAATGTGCAGAGCACGTGTAGGCATCGACACGTAACGAGAATAATGATGAGCAATGTTTTTTCTCCGTCGTTGATGAGTGTCAACACTCGAATACTGTATATACTGAGTGTTCTCCCACCATTCGGAAAGGATCATCATTGCATCTTCAATCGGACGACGAAGCAAACACACAAGTCTATGTATCAATTCAAAGATGCATCTATAAGTATACATTCCTACACTATGTTTCAAACACAATTACTATGGGTTTTGAAATTGTGTGATGGACAGATCGGCCAAGTGTCTCTTATACATCCATAAATTAAAATCACAAGGAATTTATTTGAAATGCTTTTGTCTAATACGGGGAGAATATCATTGTTCACCTCTCCAAACTCTTCATTAAGAAATTGCTCACAAACTACTCTTTTTCCACAATTCTGTTTTCGGCACATTTTCGTACTCGGAACACCTCGGTCGAATATCTACGGTTAGATCGATTAAAATCGTTTCGCAGTGTTCAGTTGTAGTGAATTGTTACAAATGTACAATGTACAAGCTGAACGGCTATAAATGTGTCACAATACGAATACAAATGAGTAGGTTTGGCGGGTTTACCTCACTTAACACGTGCCTCCCGCATCGCCACTCTTCTAGTCGTAATTAGGTTAGGACTGTTAGCGTTCGGAGGAAGGTGTTTAGAGGGGTGTAGCATGTCTATATACCAGTTCCACAAAACTGTAAAAACTAAACTTCAGAAGATGTACACTTTTACGTTTTCACCACGGAGATTGGGTCGATTACAGTTCAAATATCGCCGCAACCAATTAAACAAGGGACGTTTTACAAGTCTCGACGATTGAGAGCGCTTAAAATCTCTGTGTGCTGGTATGTGTTTGTTCGATTACTTGAATCGTGTTGGGTGACCTCCATCAAGACAGAGTCTTAACATTCACAGAATTACTACATGATCTATGATCGAACCATCGCTCGAGCGCACGTGACAAACATTATCATCTCACATGCTTATGCCATAAAAATTTAACAAATACAAGACAACATGCATTTATTCAGGTTTAGTGTATTGTGTCACGTATATGCCTGACAGGTGATTGGTGATCCAGGTAATCAGGGTGGACAACCGGAGGTGATTCAATTAACGCTAAGTGTGATTGTATTACTTGTTTCAAGCACGAAGCGCTATATAACTAATAATTCTTACCGTAAATTGTCACTTAATGTATTGACTTCAGCAGTGTTGTCCCTTTTCTCCTGTTATTTGGCAGGTTGGCCTTTGGTTTACAAACGTCTCCGTGTAAGTTCTGTTTCTTGTGTTGGACGAATCGGCTAACCGCTTAGTTATATCTTCAGTATGTTTTATACACACTACAATGAATAAACTTGAGAAATATTTTTGAGAAAAAGATAAGAAACGAATAGAAGAAAAATTGCAAACGTTTCATAGTTTGTGGTAAACGAAAATCAAAAACTATTTTTCTTCATGCTAATAAATTTTGTACTGGTGGCTAATTTTTTGAGAAATCATTGCAGCAAATGGATTTCTTCTTCAGTCGATATAGGACAGTGTATACACGAAGCTTCCTGTCACAAAATTATATATCGTTTTCAAAGCAAACTTGGTTGGTTTTATGCTGAATATACACAGTTTCATTAAAACTGTGATACGCATAGCGTATGTACTTTATGGTAAATGCGTAAGACATATGTCTTTTTGTAAACAGATACGTCAAAAGCGAGAACGAGAGTGCTCTGTAGTCCGTTCATATTAGACCGAGTAACCATATTGAATTTTGCAAAATCGTTATGTTATCGAGCAGTTTTTACGCTTTCCTACAACGGTATTATGCTCACAGCATTACCCAATTTCCGTCACGTGACTGGTCTAGAAAATACAATAGGTCTGTTGTCAGTAATCGCAAACAATCGAACTTATAACAAATGACTAAAAACAGAACTCAGGGACAAATTAAAAGTACAACAGCGTGAACTAAGGGGAGACTTAGCAAAATATGAAACGAACTACAGTAAAACAAAGTCAAAGCCGTTTTCTTCAAGAGGTTAAATAAATTAAATCACATGTGTCCCCCACCCCCACCCCACCCTCTGTTAATTTTGCGCTTCAATTTTATTGTTTGCTATGTTTCAATGCAGAGTAAGACATAGTGAAAGACTTAAGGTTTTAGCTCTTGGCAGGTGCAAGTTCCTGACTTTGACAAGAGACGCCATGACAGGCTCCACATCATGTGACTTAGCTAGATTGACAGAATTTACGAGATTTTTGAGGTTTAGAAAGAGGATAAGTTGAGCGCTAAACTTGAAAAAAAATCTGATCCCGAGGATTGAGATATCGCTGTCTACGTGGCACAAGAGTGATTGATAATTTGTCACCCATCCTCTCCAGCGTAAAAATACTCCCAGGTTGCATCATCAATAACGCAAAAAAAAGTATCGGGAGATGGTTACACCGCATAAAGTGATGACGCAATCCTATATCGAGGTGGTGACGTTTTAGAATAAAGGCGCGTGCGAGCTGTCCTAATCTAGGTCGATATAGACAGATTAATCGTTTTCACAGCAAATCTTGGAATGCATATGTGAAGTGTGGAAGGAAACGTTTACCTCTAATTTTGTCTCCGGGTGTTTTTGTAGAGGTTCTTGATGTAATTTCTTTGTCCTTAGTGTCTGATCTGTTTTCGTTGTTTTGTCTTTTTGGAGTAAACAATCTTTTGGGTTTTTTTCTGTACGTTGATGCTTTGGTATTTTTTTTAAAAGGAATATCGTTTGACTCCGTCAAAATAGGATTTTCCGGTTTCAATATCGTTAATTTAACCTCTTTATTGGATTTTTAATGGAAATGTAATTAGATTGTCAAATGATATAAGCGTTATGTGCAATGCTTGTGTCAATCAAAAACGAAGCTAATGTTGCGTCATTACTTCCGGTTACAACGCAACGGGCAATGAGAAGAGCAGCTTAGTCCCTGGTTATTTCGTTGTTTAACAAACTCTGCCTATACATGTATCTTGTATCATGTACGTTCAGTGTATCTGATATGCGCTACAGTATAGCAGTGACTCCCTTTCTATTGACGTTGACAAGACAAAAAATATGTTTGGCTTAAAGCTGCGTGTATTTCCTGCTTATTGTTTGAAAGCAGAAACGAAATGGAAAGCCATACAAAGTAACAAATCAATGATAGAATCCATTTCAACAGTCTGACTGTTTCTTTGACGATGTCAGAAATGTTCAAGTCCTTTAATTGATTTCGCACATACTGTGAACAAGACCGAGTTTTTTCGTTACATTCTCTTATCCTCCCGTTACCATTATTATCAGTTGAACTGCCGTGGGTTGGATTAAACAATCCTTGCTGTGGAGAAGTGCCTGGGGACCGATCGATGCCACGTAAAGTTTACTTGCTTAATTTATACACGCTACAATACTGCCTGTTTCTACCTCCGTCTGACAAAGGTCTGGCGGGCTCGTTCTAGTCACGTGACCAAACCTTGATTAACTAGAGTTCTTTTCTTCATGATGACGTCACAATTTTAAAACCACGATCGATCAAATGATTCGCNGCTTTTAACGTTTTTTTTTTTTTTTTTTTTTTTTTAAATTTAATATTAAAAGACTTTTAAACTGTACAAATTAAAGAATATGTTGCTTTCATTTATGGACCTGCCTCCCATCCAAGAGAGTGCCACTGAGAGATCCTCGTATAAGATCTTTTATGAATTGATTGATTGAACAGGTTTTTTTCATGAACTCTCCTGCACAAATCACGGGAATAATTGGATAGAAAGCGGTGTATTGCCTAAAACAAATATACACAAAATGCAATACCTTGTATACTTAAGATTGACGTAAAATATGTCCATTATATTTAACAACTCGAAATATTGCCTGGTATACTAAACGTACAATTATCCAGTACAATAACAGAATATTTTGTCCAGTATACACGCATAATTGAACATGACATTTCTTCCAGCAAACTTAACAAAGAAACATTTTGTTATGTTTACTTAACAACGATAGAAAACTTTTCCTTTGACACTTTTCCTGTACATTAAGAAATAATCATCGTTTTGGTAATGTATGGAGCTACACGCAGGTTCTGAGACAGACTTTTAAAGGGCATACCGCATAAGGACCGAACGCAAAGAACGATACCGCTCATAGAAGTTCAATCGAGATCACTTAAAAATTGACAAGAAATGATGGACTTGCGAAAGAGGGGAGCTGAGACAATGTCCTCTGGTCGATACCTCTTTACATCAGAGTACAAGTCAA